GAATACTAAATATTCTATTTCTCTTTGCACTTAGAACACTGATATGGTCACACTGAGACAAGCCTGTAGGGCATAGTGCTTCTCTAAACTAATGCAGAATCTAGACATAAGTATTCAAAATGCCAACAGTGATGAAAATCAAGTAAATAGGAAATTTTAATTTTGAAGGCGCTTCAGATTCAAATGGAGAAAAATAATATACTTCAGTTATGTAATCCTTTTGTGTGTGTGTGTGTGTGTGTGTGTGTGTGTGTGTGTGTGTATATGTGTGTGTGTGGTACTAGGATTGAATCCAGGGTCTCATGCCCGCCAAGCACATTCTCTGCCACTGAGCTAAATCCCCAGCCCATCCATTTTATGCTGCATTTTCTGAAAATAAATCTAGCATTTGAGTGTTCATAAATATTTCATATTAAATTCACAAGTGTTCAAATTGAAATGTAGTTGAAAAAGTGCATTAGGAAAAGATGTCTGTGCCCCCAACTTAGAAATATGCCATGAGACAGAAAAAAAGGCGTTTGTGTATATAGCCTAAGTAAGAGTATCAATGAATTTACAATGACATTCCTTTAATTCTTTTTATAAATGTTTCCTTATTTGAGTTTCCATCGTCCCCTCTAGATCTAAAATTCTATAACAAGATTAGAAAATTGAAGGGAAAAAAGTAGTATAAAAATATTTCTGGGTGGAATGTGATGATCATTATTATCCAAAGTACAGGTATGAAGTCACGAATTGGTGTGAATATATTGTGTATACAACCAGAGATATGAAAAATTGTGCTCTATATGTGTAATAAGAATTGGAATACATTCTGCTTCATATATAAATAAAAAATAAAATTTAAAAATTCTGTTTCATAGAAATTATTTTAGGTACATAGTAAATGTTCAATAAATATCTTAATTCAATTTAATTGGCATTCAATAATAGTGACACTAAAAGGTTTGCTCAAGTGTACCTATGTGGCCTGTATAAAGCACTTAATGTTTTCTATTTTGCTTTTTTTCCCCTCTCTGGATATATAGGTGTATGTCAAGTGGATCAGAAATAACAGATGGTTTCATAGCAGAAAAAAGAAAAAAATCTTCAAAAATAAACAAGCTCTTTGATTTTTCAAACATAACATTCTTTTAAAAAATTAATTAGTTAGGGCTGGGGATATAGCTCAGTTGGTGGAGTGCTTGCCTTGCATGCACAAGGCCCTTGGTTCAATCCCCAGCACCACACACACACAAAAACAAACCCTTAATAGTTTAAAAATAAACCCTTAATTAGTTTTTTAAATGTCTCCTAATTATTCACACCCTTG